AAGTGAACAACTTTGCGAGCATCCTCTGAGTATGGTAACACACGTAAGCACTCCTTATGCATAGCTTCAAATTCCATTGCTGTTGCAACAATGCTTTGGAGCTTCTTTTTGCCAGCAGGATTAATGGCATCATCTGTAATCTCTTCCGCTGGTTTCAAATCCAAATCTTCCATTCCTGAAAAAAGAGATAGATTTAAATATATGTGTCTGTATACATCTGTGTATATAACTGCAGACAGGGTGCACATTGTTTCGACCTATGTGGGTCTCGTCATTGCAGTGCAGACACTGGGCCAAGCTCTGGAATAAACCATTGCCTGGGCGCTACACTTGTGGGACCAAGTGTAGGCATGTTGCCATGCGAGAGCGCTCAAATCACAACTAAAATGATGAGCTTCGCCCGAATATATTTATGTGTATATATATATGTGTCTCTATATATGTGTGTATATATATGTGTCTCTATATATGTGTGTATATATGTGTGTGTATATATGTCTGTATATGTGTGTGTATATATGTGTATGTATGTATATGTGTGTGTATATATATGTGTGTATATATGTGTGTATATATATGTGTATATATATGTGTACATACATATATAGATACACACACACACATATATATATATATATATATATATATGTATATGTATATACATATATGCCTGCCTGCCTGCCTCCATAACGTTTGATAAGCAGAAAAAATCAATCAACTACATTTCATCCCTACAAACCTGTTTCGTGGTTGCCCACTCATCAGCGGATTTTAATGACAGAATAACTCAGTACCATTGCTTGTATACTATACTAATTAAGATAATTGATTTGGTGCGAAAAGTGTCAAGTCAACTGTTGCGTAGGAGGGCTTTTTTTCTATGTCGGCAGGAAGAGACGAGTTCGTTACGTTTGCTGAGTGTAGATAGGTCGGGCCAGCAGATGATCTGGAATTTCTCTTTAAGGCATAGGTTGCATAGATTGTTTGAGATGTTGTAGGGCAGGTGTGAAGATAGAATGCGCCAGGTGATGGAATAGCCGATGTTGTTGTATTAAAGTGTCCACTGGTACTAAGTTGCGGTGCTTTGCGTGTCGGAACGTTGAGGTGTGGTTATTGTAGCGGGTCTTGAAGTCGTTTCCAGTAAGTCCGATGTATGAATCCGTCGTGTTGTTGTCTTTACGTGTGACGGTAGCTTGGTAGATAACAGATTGTTGGTAGCAGTTTCCGGCTAGCGGGCATGAGTTTTTCTGTCGGCAGTTGCATTTCTTGTTATTGTTAGCGGTAGTGTCGGCAGTTGTGTCGGCAGCATTAAATACCAACCATACACAAAGCCTAACAACACACTGCAATACGTCCACCACGAAAGCAACCACCCACCGATCACCACAAAAAAAATCCCCGCCGGTATCAACAGACGCTTATCATCTCTCTCACCCGACAAAGCCTCCTGCAACCAAGCAGCTCCCGCCTACCAGACAGCACTTGACGACAGTGGATACAGCTACACACTTCGCTATGAACTAACGCACACGCAACGGCGCAAGAACCGTCAACGCAACAACATCCTCTGGTACCACCCACCTTTCAGCAAGACCACCAGCACTAACATCGGGCATAAATTCCTCGAGCTGGTAGACAAACACTTCCCTAAAGACCATAAGCTTCGCAAAATCTTCAACAGAGACCCAATCAAGATCAGTTACAGCTGCTTGAACAATACAAAACAAATCATTGACAAACACAACAAAGAATCCCGACTTCCCACGTAAAGACTAATCCTGCCGACACAACCACCGACACTACCGCTAACAACAACAAGAAATGCAACTGCCGACAGAAAAACTCATGCCCGCTAGACGGAAACTACCTCCAACAATCTGTTATCTACCAAGCTCCTGTCACACGTAAAGACAACAACACGACGGATTCATACATCGGACTCATTCCAAACGGCTTCAAGACCCGCTACAACAACCACACCTCATCGTTCCGACACGCAAAGCACCCCAATTCTACCGAACTCAGTAAACACATCTGGACACTTAAAGACAACAACATCGGCTATTCCATCACCTGGCGCATTTTATCTTCACACCTGCCTCACAACAGCTCAAGCAAACGATGCAACCTATGCCTTTAAGAGAAATTCCAGCTCATCTGCACGACCTATCTACACTCAACAAACGTAACGAACTCGTCTCTTCCTGCCGACACAGCAGGGTTGTAAACTTAATTTTGAGAGCACTCGCCATTCGGGCGAGTGACCCTCAAAATGCACTCGCCCGGACCAGTTTTCACTCGCCCAAAAGTTTACCAAAAAGTGCTCGATGCGGGTTGCAGAGCGTTTCAATAGCGGTTATAAATTAATGACAGGAAGATCGTTTCACCGTTACTCTGAGTTTCACGCAGCTTGCGCTGCGATCGTCAGACGGTTTTGTTATCGATGGAAAACATACCGTACTATAAAGTCAATATAAAAATAGAAATTATAGTTAAAATAATAGGAAGCAATTAAGAAGACAGACAGGACTGTTTCTATTGGTTTCGCAAGTAGAACTTGTTTTCATGGCAGCACTTGGAAATGAGTTCTGATCGTTTGTTTAATGAAGTGGATTTGTCCGCGGTGATAATGAGGAATTTTTCGGCAAGGCAGAAGTTGCATGTTCTTGAATTTCCTTTGTAAGATGTGGCTTTGTGGATTGTCGACCAATGAATGGAGTAGGGAGTGTTGGTGCTCTTAAGTTCCCGAATGTATTTGGATAGCTCGGTGCTGTTAGCGAAGGCTTTGTTTCGGAATGAGAGGGAATGCTGCGTGTATCTTTGTTTGAAAGAATTTTCTGTTAGGCCGCTGTAGTTTTTGCCCGTTTGGTCTTTGTTTGTGGTGACTGTAGCCTTGTAAATTAAGGAGGAAGCGAGGCAGTTGTTCTGTAAGGGACAGGCTTATTTTACTCTGCAGTTGCACTTGCGGTCTTGGCTGGTCGAGGGGGGTTCAGGATTTTCTGATTGTACCTCCTGATAATAGAATCCATGTTGTCCATACAACTGTAGCTGACTTTCATGGTGTTTTTGTTAAAGATTTTGTGGTATTTGTGAGAGGTGGGGAAGTGCTTCTAAAGAAGTGTAAGGAAAGTTTTACCGACGCTAGTTTGGACGTTTTTGCTGAAGGGGGGATTGAACCAGATTATCTGTCTTCTCTTTTTTTGAGCAGTCACGGGAACTAAGGGGTGAAGATGTGGCTGGCTTGAAGTAGGAGAGATGGGTGTTATGTCCGCTTGATTTCAGGGCGTCTTCGTATGTGGGCTTGGCCTTGTTGAATACATCTTCGTTACAGGAGAGGTCACAGATACGCCGGTTAATAGACTGTGGAAGGTGCGTGATGATGGAAGGGGGATGGTTCGATTTAGCATGGACGTAGAGGGGGTCATTTGGGTTTTCTGTAAGGGAAGTATGTTCCTTTCGTTACGTTTAGTGAGACGTCGAGGAAGTTGACTGTTTTTAAGTTGGTGTTTATGGAGATTGAAAGGCCGTATTGTTTGAAATGGGCTGATTTTGTTTTCCTAAAGCAGTCCGCCTCCGGGCCTGATGCGTTCTTTAGTAAGGCTAGGCCGTCGTCTCTGTAGAGGCCGATGTTGGTGTTACCTGTTTTTTTGCTGAGGCTGTCGAGGATGAAAAGACCTACGAGTTCGCACATTTCGGCACTATCGTAGCTCCCCATTGTGACGTCGAACATGTTGTCATTTGTTTTCTTTTTCCAGGCGGTGTGGTGGTTGAAGAGGAGGGATTTACGGCAGTGCATGATGATGTTGATGTCTTGATCGGTGATCGTGGTGAAGGTTTTGGCGTAGTTGATGGCATCCAGGAGGAGGGTTTCCGTGATCGAGGGGTAAAAGTTGTCGATATCGTAGACAGTGAACGAGTGCTTATGTTTGTCGGGGATGCTGCCGAACCATTTAATGACGTCCATAGAGTTTTTCCACTGGTTCAAGAGATAAGCATTGAGTTTTGTGCCTTTATTGCTGTGTTAGTGACGTTGAAACCATTTTATTTTTCTTTTTTTGATGTCCATCTTTGTTGAAACCTTCATTGTTAGGGCTCTATAAAACTTTCATTCTCCCTCATTTTGAATACTGTTGCCCCCTCTATCTTGGATTGGGGAAAGTAAAAGCGAATCGGCTACAAGATGCCAACTATTATATTCTTAGATCACTGCTGGGTTATCGCAAATCTACCCTTTAAGATGAATTACTGCGAATCTTGAATATGGAAACGTTAGACCAGAGAAGGAAATAACAATCCCTTATTCTGTTATATAAATGTTTGCATAACGACAGTCCCAAATATATCAGAGATTTTTTTAGTTTTAGGGAAACTATGCACAATCTGAGAGGAACCGGCATTAATTTGTACGCACCTAAATTAAATTTAAATTTTATGAAAAAAACTTTCACTTATATGTGTGCGCAGCTGTGGAATGGATTATCTACAAGTGTGAAACTGGCCAATAATATCAATCTTTTTAAGAAGCTATTGAGAACATTGAAACTTTAGCTGCTTCTCCATTTTATATCTGTATTTACGTGACTTTGAATTTTATTGTACAAACTTAAATTTTAATGTTAATTGTTAGTTATTTCAATTTCCATTCAATTAGGTCTTGACACTATGTATTAGGTTTTTTAGATTCTTAATCTTAGAGGCACGTACGTATTTTGAACGAGCTCTATGAGCTCCTTGTATGAGCTCCTTGACGCTACGTGGGTAAATAAAGTATTGACTGATTGATTGTGAATTACTCTAGAAAACAAGAAAGATGATTTTCCATCCAAGGTTTCCTTTCACTTCAGCTAAATTTGCCTCTGGTTTACTGCTACTCCCAACGCTAATAATTTTCTCTCACTCGTTGGTACTGAAGCGTGAACAAGGTTTGTAGTAATTGTTTCACGTTGTCAAGTTTCACCTCGTCACAAGTAACGATAAAGGAAACACACCGCACTCCCGCTGTTCTTTTTCCACGTGTTACTCACAGAAATGAGATATTAATAATATCACAGAGGCGTGTTACAGAAATGATTAAGACTGCGTCCTATTCTCGTTTACTTTGATTAAATTGTCACTGAAATTATTTCTAAAAGGAACACGAGTGCAACCATCAACATGAAAAAAATCAGCGGAAGA